GGAGAACTGGCAGTACGAGCACGTCCAGGATATCTTAACCTCGTACTCGCAGGCTACCAAGTACAACCCGCGCTGGTACAAGGCTTGGCACGCTTGGGCTCTGGCCAACTTTGAGATTGTCCAGGCCTTGTCTACTCGTGGTGAGAGAACTGATCACATGGTTGTTGAGCATGTGGTTCCGGCTGTCAGAGGCTTCTTCAAGTCAATCGCGCTGTCTGCGGGAAGCTCTCTGCAGGACACACTCCGCCTTCTGACACTGTGGTTCACGCATGGTGCCAGTGCCGATGTTAATGCCGCCGTCACTGAAGGTTTCACCAATGTCAGCGTCGACACCTGGCTGGAAGTCATTCCCCAGCTCATCGCTCGAATCAACCAGCCGACGCGCCGCGTTCAGCAGTCGATTCATAGCCTCCTCGCAGATGTTGGTAGGGCTCATCCGCAGGCGCTGGTCTACCCGCTGACGGTAGCGATGAAATCTTCGCAAAACACCCGCCGTTCGAGGTCTGCTGCTCAGATTATGGATAGTATGCGTCAACACAGCGCCAACCTCGTTTCCCAAGCCGACATTGTCAGCCACGAGCTTATCAGGGTCGCGGTTCTTTGGCATGAACAATGGCACGAGGGTCTCGAGGAGGCATCGCGACTGTACTTTGGTGATCATAACATCGAAGGCATGTTTGCCACTCTCGAGCCTCTTCATGATCAACTCGAGCGCGGTCCAGAGACTCTTCGCGAGATCTCCTTTACGCAAGCCTTTGGCAGAGATCTCACCGAGGCTCGCGAGTGGTGTCGTCAGTACGAGGCCAGCAGAGACGTCAATGATCTCAATCAGGCTTGGGATCTCTACTATCAAGTATTCCGGCGCATCTCACGACAGTTGCCCCAGCTCACTACGCTTGAGCTACCTTACTGCTCGCCCAAGCTACTGGCCGCCAAGGATCTTGATCTCGCTGTGCCTGGAACTTACCGCAGTGGTCAACCCATTGTCCGCATCATGGAGTTTGAGGGTACCTTTACTGTTATTAATAGTAAGCAGAGGCCTCGCAAGCTCAACATTAGCGGCAGCGATGGTGTTTCATACGCCTTTTTGCTCAAGGGCCACGAGGATATTCGCCAAGACGAACGAGTTATGCAGTTGTTCGGTTTGTGCAATACCTTGTTGGCGAACGATTCTGAATGTTACAAGCGTCACTTGAACATCCAACGATACCCGGCTATCCCGTTGTCACAAAACTCGGGTCTGCTGGGCTGGGTGCCCAACAGTGACACTCTTCACGTGCTAATAAGGGAATACCGTGAAAGCAGGAAGATTCTCCTTAATATCGAGCATCGCATCATGCTCCAGATGGCTCCCGACTACGACAACCTCACTCTCATGCAGAAGGTTGAAGTGTTCGGCTATGCACTGGACAATACTACTGGCCAGGATCTCTATCGGGTATTGTGGCTTAAGAGTAAGAGTTCAGAAGCATGGCTGGAGCGCCGCACCAATTACACACGCTCTTTGGGCGTCATGTCGATGGTTGGATACATTCTCGGTCTTGGTGACCGTCATCCGTCCAACCTCATGCTCGACCGCGTAACAGGCAAGATCATCCACATCGACTTTGGCGACTGCTTCGAAGTGGCTATGAAACGCGAGAAGTACCCAGAGCGTGTGCCGTTCCGACTGACCCGCATGCTCACCTACGCCATGGAAGTCAGCAACATCGAGGGAAGCTTCCGTATCACCTGCGAGCATGTCATGAGAGTCTTGCGAGACAACAAGGACAGCGTGATGGCTGTCTTGGAAGCGGTATGTTTCTTCTCCCAGTCCATGTCTTGAATCCTCCAAGCTAACCGCCTCGCAGTTCATTCACGATCCTCTCCTGACCTGGCGCCTTACTAATGCTGCCAGTCCGGCGGGACCTAACTTCCGATCTGAACGCGAGACTTCGCTTGCTGGCCCGCAAGCTGCCAGAGCACGCCGCCCCTCTGTTCTCGACGCAGACGTGGCGCCGTCGGAGCTGCTTGCCACAGGAGATCCCGGTATGCCCGGGGGCCCTGTCGCGCGCTCCCGGTCAAGAACAAACTCATCAATGGCACACGAGGGCAGTGTTGTTAATGGCAACAACGGACCGGACCCCACCGAAATCCAGAATGCTCGGGCCGTCGAGGTGCTCGATCGCGTCTCTCAGAAGTTGACTGGCAAGGACTTCAAGCCGAACGAGGAGCTTGATGTAATAAACCAGGTCAATAAGCTCATCACGGAGGCGACAAAGTTGGAGAATCTCTGCCAGCACTACATAGGATGGTGCAGCTTCTGGTAATCCCGATGTTGTTTTAGGTTTGGGTGAGGGATTGAGAGCACCCATGGTTCTCAAAGGGCTTTCATGTGGATACGAACTCGGTGGGTTCGTGGGAAGGGTTACGCGTATGTGAGCGCTCGCGGCGGTGTTTGCGGTATTTCTCTTCAATGTGTTTTTAACTCTTCTGGCATGTTGCCAGGCGTTTTCGTTTTCGTTGGTTTTGTTAGTGTATACCAGGTCAAGGGTCAAGGGCTTTAGCAGTACATTCTGGACTTTGCAGACGGCCTCTTTTGTTTCTCGAGGTATCATGGCATGGCGTCGTGGTAGACAGAAAATCAATCAATGGGTAATTTCAAAGGGAATGCATCTAAGTGGTGTCTAAGGTATGTATGTCCAGGTAAAACTAATCAAACGCTGGTTACGGCAATGCATTCTCGTCTTTGAGATGACGCTCTTAACTCATTGGTGACCTCTTGGCCTAAGCCTTTTTCAGGGTGACGCCGAACGGTCGCGGCGAAATGCTCTCGGCCGACCCATCCTCGGCAATGGTGATGGTGAAGTCGTCCAAAGCGAGGTAGTTGTAGGTCTTGCGATCGATCAAGCCCCATGTCTGACAGTCGCCGTCGGGGTATACAAGTTTGTCACCAACGTCCGGCTCGTCGTGGTTCTTGTACACGGCACGCCATGACCATTGATCGCCCTCTCTGATGTTGGTGGGGTAGACCCTGCCGCTGACGTTGAAAGCCTGAATCTTGGAGCCGACGCCGTAGCTGGGGATGTGAGAGAGCACGTCGAAGCCGCGTACGGTGTAGTTTGTCAGAGACAAGCCTGGGCCGTCGTCGATGGATAGTATTAGCGTCGAGCTTGATTTCTCGTCGATGTACTCTCCCGCAAAGACTGCGGCCGCATGCTCCTTGTTCGCTTTCTCTAGGGCCGGGATGAGGGCTTGGATGACGGGGGAGATGACTTGAGAGGGGAACTGGAAGGTGCCTGCGGCTTCGGCACCGGCGGTGAGGATGGAGATGACGAGGTCGTAGTCGGGTATGAGGAGGAGGACATTGGTGTATAGGCCGAGGTCGCCGGACTTGGTGTAGATGCTGATGGGGATGCCTGAGTCGAGAAGATTGGAAGTGGTCCAGATCTCCCAGGGTGCGCCGATGGAATAGCCGCGGGAGGACGTGAAGGCGCGTGGCTTCAACCAGGAACCTGTGTCGATGCCGACCTTGTCGGAGAGAATCGCGGTTCCGAAGGTAAGCATGTCGCGGGTGTTTGTGTAGATGCCGCCGGCAGCAGCATATGCGCCGAGGTCGCCGCCCCAGGTGGGTTCCTGGAAGGGAATGAAGCTTGAGTCCTTTGCCGGTGTGGCGATGGAAGTCTTTGTCAGGCCGAGAGGCTTGAGGATGGTGTCGGTGAGGATGGTTTCATAGGTTTGGTTGGACGCCGCTTCGACTGCGAGGGCGAGGAGGGTGATGCCGATGTTGGAGTAGACGGGGGTGGTGTGTGGGCGGAAGACGAGGGGTTTCTCGTTGAGGCCGTGGAGAAGGTCTGTATGCTGTCAGAGGTCCGCCATGGGATTGTATAGATGGGAAATATGGCTTACCTTTTCTTGAGCAGGGCTTGGTGCCGAGGAGACCGGAGCAAGTCGGCTTGGTGTCGTTGGACACAGGGGGAAGACCCATTGATGCCCAGGCGCCGGGGAAGACGGCGAGGTCAGTGGCGACTTGACACTTTTAGTATTGTAAAGTTGAGGAAGATTGACGAGGAGTAAACCTACTGTCGCCGCCCAGCCCGGAGACATGAGAAGCCAAGTCTTCAATAGTGATATTGTCCCACGGGATGAAGTTGAGCTGGCCTTCATTCTTCACGGCATCGGTCTTGAGTTGCGGCAGGTACTTGGTTACGGGATCGGTCCCCTTGATTTGAGAGTTTTTCAGAGCGGTGAGGGTTGTGAAGACCTTGGTAATGCTTCCTCCACGGTATACGGTGTCGATATCGACCTTTGCAACACTGCGGTTATCTGCGACGGGAGGTGTGTAGTGCCAATCGAAGAGGGGCGCATCTTCGTGTATGGACTTGACACCAATGGAGATTGCAGTGAAGTTCAGAACGGAGGTGAAGTTGACGAGGCCTTCTTGGATTTGGAGGATGGTTTCCTGTACTATTGTCGAGTTGCTTGGTGTTTTGGAGGGGGGTAACGTCGGCCCTAATGGCGGGCAGGGATTGGCTTGGGAGGCAGTGATTAAAGAGATTGCCGCGAGGGCAAGGAGTAAGGTTTTGAGCACCATCTCGAGAGATGCTCAATCACGGATGGTGAGTGGGAAACGATACACTAGTAAGATTTGTGAACTTGAGTTGTCTCGTTGAGAGGAAGCCCTTCTCGAAGTCGTCGCCCATCCAGACTCAATTATATCGTTTTTACAAGACTGAGATTCCCAATACGTTTGTACGAATGTTTCTCCCTGCGACGCCCTGCGAGTCTCTAGGCAGAAGCTATTCCTGGGTCTTAGACTATGATGAAGACCAAGCCACGACGATGCGCGACATAAAGCTACAGCAAGCAACGTTGAGCCCTCAAAAGCTCGGGACAGAGCCTTTCAAAGTCCGGCATCGCCAATCACGGCTCGTCTGACAGACGATCAACAGCCATAGCGTCCGGTTGGATGAGCAGGATAGACGCTATACTAGCGGGGAGGAGGTGGCAGCTTATATGGCATGGTTTTGGTCAAATTAAGGTTAATTCCAGGGACATTGGCCTTTGTTGCCTGTGCTCAGCCATCAACCTATGGCCTTCCAATCGATGACCCCTGTGACAAGTGTACCTATGTGGGAGAGAGGAAGAACTGGGATGACGGGGGAATTGGGACGCGGCAACAAGGCCGTAGGCCCGTAGGGCGACGTGAAGACCGGGAATGGATTGAAAAGAGACCCGTTCATCTGGGTCTAGCGTACCGTCTGGGCTGAAGAATGGGTGCGGCGTCAAGGCAGCAACAGAGCCACTGAGCCAGTGAGACGGTAGGCTGGTCGGTATTTGCCGGTGACTGTATGATGTAATGACAGGGGTTGAGGCTCTTTTTGTACGGTACATTATCTAGAATCACGGATATCTTGGTTGGCGTGGATAGCAGAGGATGGGTACACATGTAAAAGAAGAAACAGGGCCGTAGGCAACGGGATCAACGGGCGCCCCCGTATCCGCACCGCTGAACCGCTGAACCGAGTGGGATCCTGCGGGGGCCGGCTCGGGGCCCCACTACAGCTCAGCGATTGGTCCGCTCGGGACGGTAGTCCGAGATCTGTGACGAATCAGAGACGCGTAGACCCGTTACTTGGCCCCGTTAAAGTGGGTGATGTGCCGTTATGGCCCGTGAGCCTTGGTTCTCCCACCAGAAGAAGGTGCGCCCTGTGTGGCCTGCTGAGCTGCTCCTTCCCCTGCACGAATACGGCGCATTACAACCTGGAAGGTGCAGTCTGCAGTCTGGTTTTCTGGGCTGAGCCGCTTCCTTCCACTTGTTCCACAACCCGAGTCGCCCAAATGCAGTGCAATCAGACAACCACACACACACACACAACTTCACCTCTTCTGGCGCATCTCACCACGATGGGACATGGGCCTGCAGCTGGGGCAGTGACAGGGCTGACATCTGAAAGGCCACTAGCCAAACTATCCTTGGATTACCTCCTACGGATACAGACTACGTTACCTTTCCCAGTGCCCGACCTACCTTGACCACCTCACCTTGTCGACCCTCGATTTGTATCCGCTATTATCCCCATGTCGCGACCGTCACCATAACTCCAGGCAGAGACATTCTCTGAGCTCTCGTTCGACAACTCCTGGGAATCCAACGGAATTGTCTCTACAAATTGAGAAGCTTGGCTCAACAGAGCACCGTCTCCGCTCCGTATCTATCTCACCTGCTACCTTGTTACACCTCGGCTTGGGCGGGAATCTCGCTTCCATCACCTCAAATCGCCAGGGAGTGGATTTTTCACGGTTAAGGGTTTCGCTCCTCACTGATTGCTGTAGACCTAGCTTGTTGCAAGGGGGTCACCGTCATCAATTGATTCCAAAGACTGCTCCGTGCAGAACGATATACAAAGGTCGCAGGTTTCACTACAATACACTAAATGGCACCTTGGCCGTGATTGCTAGACTCGGACTTAACACCTCGGATCCATAGAGACAGAACACCACAGACCAACAACAGAACAACGACACCAAAGTCCCAACGCCGCTCCATCAGGAACCAGCCGTGCCAGCCCAGAGTCCAGGAACATACAGTACTGTCCACTCTACCTCTGTCCCTGCGGACCTACGGGAGCTCGGCATCATGAGCACGCCAGACGACCCGCAAATCAAAGACCCAGCAACCACGCCGCCGGCGTCATTGCAGGTCCCCTCAGGCCGGAAGGGCACCAAGAAAGTTCGGACTGGATGTGTGACCTGCAAGTTGAGTCCGAGCCTCCCTATCAATCCCATCACTACATCTGCCATCCCATCTCCAGCCTATGTTCATCTTACACTCATCTAACTTCTCTCCACCTTTCTTGCTAACCCCTCGTCCAAACACCTAGGATTCGAAAAGTCAAATGCGACGAGACGAAACCCGCATGCCTTCGCTGCACCAAGACAGGCCGGAAATGTGACGGCTATTTACCCTCGTCGAAGCCGGGGAGCAGCAATGATGGCAGTCCCGGTTCCGACGATAGCATTTCTCGCTTGAGCCCAGCAGTCTCAGCCTTTGCCGACTGGGCCGGCGGCTCTAGAGAGCAGCGTGCGTTTGACTTCTATCGCAACTTTTCCGCCCCATCTATATTTAGCGACGGAGTCGCCTCGACTCTGTGGAAGAAATTGGTACCGCACTTTTGTCACGCCGAGCCCGCCATTCGCCATGCCGTCCTCGCTATCAGCAGCCTCCATGAATCACTCGCACTACCCTCAACTTCGGATCCAATTACTGAAGAAGCAAATAGCCCTCGTATGCTTACCAACACTTTTGCAGCGGAGCAATATGGCAAGGCCTTGAAGTGCCTTCAGGAGTGGAAACCGACAGCATCATCGCCGGCCACCGTCCCGCTCTTGGCATGCTTGCTGTTCATATGCATCGAATTTATGCTTGGCGACGAGGGCGCATCCCAAGTACATATCAACCAAGGCCGCACCATTCTGTCGCAACTTGAGCCCTCTGCCGATGTGGATGTGATTAAGAAGCATTTCGTGCCCATCTATAGTCGACTTGGCCTCGCATCCTTCCTCTTTGGGAGCTTCCCCGCCGCCATACCCGCCACCCTTAAATCGAGTACGGCAACGAGTCTATACTTTGCATCTGTCGACGAGGCCGAAGTGTCATTATACGAACTCATCGATGACGGCTTGAGGTTCACGGCGCAGGCTAAGAGAGCCGTGTATTCCTGCCAGCCAGACGATCCGACCTTGCTGGACCTGGCCCATGAACAAGACGACTTTCTCGCACGGTTGTCACGATGGCACATTGCATTTGTCGTGGTCTCAGCCACCGGTATTGACGACAACCTGAGCAAACGAAAGTTGTGCATGGTTTATTACCACGCAGCCAAGATTGCGATCAGTACGGCCATGGACCCCAAGGAGATTGCTTTCGATACGCACACCACAGCCTTTGCGTCCATTGTCAGCAGTTCGGCAGAATTTGTACAAGCCACACGCAAGACGGTTCGTGACCCGTCGGAAGCCGCCAAGTCGATGCCCAAGTTTGTTTTCGACACCGAGGTAATCCCGCCGCTTTACTACGTGAGCATCAAATGTCGACACCCGATGCTGCGGCGAGCGGCCGTGAATCTCCTCAAGCAAGACGCTGTGACGAATCGGAGGGAGAACCTATGGGATGCCCAGATGCTGGCTGAGATCGGCAAGCGCTGCATAAATATCGAAGAAGAGGCGGCGCGTTACCGCGAGGAGGCGTTTGACATCACAGCTGGTTGGGATACGGCATCTTGGGAGGGTTCCGATGGCGTGCCGGCCGGCCTCTTCCCGGCGGAGATGGAATCCGGGATGGAGTGTGACTACCCCGTTCCTCGATTCCAATACCCGCAGATCCCCAAAGCAACAAACTCGCAACAAAATGAGGAGTATGAGAGAACGCGGATTCTTGTCAATGATCTGATGCTGGATAGCCACCTGACGCCCGGGTCTGCGTCTACGGGATCAACGCCATCATCCGGGAGCATTGGTAATTTTGGCGCCTACCAGCTCGAGCCGCCCTTTGGCCTTCCGGAGCATGCGAGGATCAAGAACGCTCTAATTGACAATGAGCAAAGGCGAGGTAGCTGGGTGACCATATTTATGGATCCTGGAGAGGCTGGGGCGGCGAACTGGAAGGTTACCAAAGAATTCATATCAAGGTGAAGCTTAACCTTACTTGCTTTGATGAGCGACTTCAATAGCCCGGTGAATAGTTGTTCAATCTGTCTTTTTTGAATTGAGCAGCATTTCGAGGATAGCGTGCAAATGATCGAGAGCTTAGTAAACACGCCGTCGAGTAGATCAACGGCAATAAAGATAATGATTGACTGCGTATTGAAAGGGTGGGCAACACAATTGCCGAGTGTCGACAGAACTTGAACCTTGGCTCCATGCCTCTGTTCGCCTTTAGCTATGCCTGGACACGGTGCAGTACTTGTAACTTCTTCCATAGGAATGAGGGTCGGCTCCCTCTTGATATGCCCCGATGCACGATTGATATTTCGTTGGTGGCCATTGATCTATTCGCTGAGACGGTTATCCAAGCCGCCTACAGATCCTTTGATGCTTCTTGAAGTAAACCAATGTCAAATCGGCCTCTTCCTCTTGGCAGACGAGATGCCGATGCCTAAATATGAATTTGCGCTGGTGCCGTACGCAACCATGACAAAGAATCTTAAGCTCCAGTCAACCGTGGACCGTTGTGGAGGTCTTTCCCCCAAAACGCGTCGCCGCCCCTTGTCCCATGAGATCCGAACAATTTCCATACATCCAGAAGCTCGCCGATCTGGTCTAGAGTTACACATACCACTCGCCGTTCATGTCGTAACAGCTAAGAGCGCCGTCCCGACTGACCCAGATCCCTTGAGCTGCAACCCCAGTCAGCAAGGCAATGATTGAAATAATCATGCAATTGAATACCCACAGAGATTGATGGACGGCGACTTGTATCCCTCTAGCCAAAATATACGTGGCTTGCACTCCTCGCACCTCAGGCCGACATATGAATCTGCAGACTTCTGGAAGACGCCGCATTCATTGCACCTGAAACCGCCTCTATGAAAAGTACTGTTGTCAGCCAAAGTACATCAACTACAACATGGCCATCTACAACTTTCCTTTGGAAAGCATTCTGACCTTAAAGAGAATCATACCTCGGTGTCCACTCCAGGTTGCCGTCCCAGTTGGCGATGCACTTCTTGAGATCGAGCTTGGTGTAAACGTAGTTGCCTTTCTTGTTTTTACATTGAGCAACGAGGTAGAGCGGGTCTTTTTCTTCCTTCTCTAGGAAACTGAAGTTGGTGCATATGTTTTCCATGCAATCAGACTCAAGGGGGCATTTTCGGTCCAAGGTGGCAGCACGAGTTGCTAGAGCGGTAAGGTGGGTTGCGAAAAGGTGGATGGAAAGGAGGGCGGCGAGGATGGATGACTTCATGATGGCAGATTTTGCGACGAGTTTACTCGGCTTAGGTACTAATAAATTGGAGTTGAAAGACTGAAGGTGGTGGAAAGATTTCTTGGGAGAAGACGTTCTCGAACCCTTTATGAATCTCATGGCGATGCATGTCGAGCACACTGAATTGAAGTCAAGAGGCTTCATGACCACGTCGTTGCACCAAAGCACGAGGGATATCGCGAGTACAACCCTGGGCTCGGATAAGTTTGTTGATATTGATGTTTGGTTACAAACTGTGTTCTTGCAGTACTACTTCTCTGAAAGGAGGTCTGTTCTCTGGGGGAAGCTTTGCCCGCTTTGAACTACCCCTACATGCGCCCAAAGGGAAACCGATATCCCTATGGAGGTAGGAACTTGTCCCACGCGTAACCATATCTAATTATTGCAGACTCGATTTCGTGGTTTCCGCACTGGCTGTACCATTATCTCATGTGAGACAGAATGTTTTCAGCTTGACGTCGAATGATTTGCACTTCGTATTACTCTCACTTTCTATCTCTTTGCGACATGTACTGGCATGTTTGACACCACAAACATGGGATTTCCCTCGCAAACAGCAGGTACTAAATCATATGCGTTGGATTTGATTGCAAGATAATGTATCTGCCCCTTAAGCTAATATATGGACACTCAAACTCAATTTGCGGTTCCGAAAGGGGATGTTGAGAATGGGTGCCATGACGAAAGTGCCCAACATCAAAAGAAACGCAACCATTGCACGCAGTCAATAATACTTCATCATCTCAGCCGAGTTTCCGCTTGTTTTTCTATCAATTTCCAAAGCATCAAGGGTATGCCCTCTTGGTTCGTACCTTGGTCTATTGGTCCCATGAAATGACGGCGACGTGCGGGCCTGAGTCACTCGGTCACCGGCATGGTGGAATGTGGCCCTTGATATCTCTTCCAGCGATATAGCTTCCAACGCCGGTCATATTATCATGACCAAGTATGATCGTCAAGTGCTTCATCAACAGATACAGCTGCAGTAGCTGCGCCACGTTTCCCCGCGGGTTGCGTGAAGACCTCCATGGGATGTGGGGTATCCCAATCGGGCAACTTAATGCGGCACATGGATCGCAGTCCAAAGTCTGACCAGCCAAGAGATTGTGCCTATAACATTACTCGATCGGGCCAAATGAGCGAGTATATGGTCACATTGCCCCTTGACTTCATATGATCGCGAAGGCATTCGCGCACCCAACTGCGAGATAGCTTCGTATAATAGTGGGTTCATTACGAGAATTGTCCAAGGCGCACTGCCGATTGCTGCAACACCGATGGAACATCGCCATTAATTATCTGACTGAACGTCGGAACTCATGCAAGACCTAGCCTAAGAGTTCGAAATATAAATTGAACGAGTCTTGACCGGAAGAGTGTCTATGTTCTCGATTCCTTCCCTGAGCAGTTTCACTTTTCGAATACAGCGCGCTCAAAGACTGGCACATCATTCTTCAACTTTGTAGTGCCTCCCTCAAGCTTTATGTTCGAAATGAGACTCATCATATCCATAATTCTTTCCTTGGCTTCAAAGGTTCTTGGGCAAGACCCTGGCTTGCCGGTTGCCAATCCCACCATATCCTACTGGCAACTTCCCCCTTTGGAGGGAGTCGCGGATCATCAGTCCGAACACCTACCGACGGATGTGGATGTTGTTGTTATAGGCTCGGGCATGTCGGGAACTAGCATCGCTTGGCATCTACTCAAGGAAAATAACAGCTCAACACCTCTAAGGGTAGCCATGATCGAAGCTCGGCAAGCTTGCTCTGGTGCTACAGGAAGAAATGGAGGTCATATCAGACCGTCTTCCTATGCCGAGTATGCTGGCGCCAAGACGGCAGTATCACAGTCAGAAGCCGCCAAGATTACCAGGCTGCGCTCCGCCCACGTGGACGCGCTGATATCAGCGGCCAACTCTCTTCCGGAAGAGGGTAGACTCGCTGCAGAAGCTCGTGTTGTGGACAGCATCGACGCCTTCTTCGATGAAGAGAGATGGAAGACAGCTGTCGAACAGGTCAAGACCCTCAAGGATGAAGTTCCAGATGTTGGAGCTGAATGGTCCATCTTTGAAGGTGAAGAAGCTCGCAATGTAAGTCATCATAGTCCACCAAGTTTGGTATAGAGGCTCACAGAATGGTTAGATTTCGCTTCTCACTGAGACCGTTGGGATTCTTACCGGGACCACCAAGATGGCTGGTGCAATTTGGCCATACCGCTTCATCACGAATGCGCTGAAATCACTTTTGAGCACCTACCCTAACTTCACTTTGGACACCAACACAGTTGCGTTGAACATTTCTGCCATCACCGAGTCGGCCAGTCCCTCAGACTATGAGGTTCACACTTCCAGAGGAAGCATCAGAACCAAACATGTCGTTTATGCGACCAACGCTTGGACACCACACTTCGTTCCCGGCTTACAAGGCGCCATTCGCGGAGGTCGCTTGCATATGAGTGCCCAGCTTGGAGGCAACGGCTTGCCCAAAGCCGGAGAGTGGCCATCGTATACCGGCAATGGAAGTTTGGCTGGAGGACGTGCCTGGTCGCTATATCGAAATGGCCTGGATTACATTGTCCAGATGCCTCGGAATGGAGAGTTCATGTTCGGCGCAGATGTTGACGGAGATGACGCCAATGTCGACACCTACGACGACAGCCGGGCTCCCCTTCACCTTTCTGCCTCATATCTTAACGGAGCTCTACCAAATCACTTCGGTTACGGCACTTGGGATTCTGAGAGAACTGATTTTCCACAATCTTTGGATCCCAGTGTCTGGAATGGTCGTACGAAGCGCGTCTGGGTTGGCATCGAAGGCAGCTCAGTGGACTCCAGACCATTTGTAGGCCGTATCCCTCAGTCCGCTACAGGCCGATCTGTAAAAGCTACTTCGACTGGGAGTGAGTGGGTGTCTGCGTCTTTTGACGGCGAAGGGATGTGCTTTGCTTGGCTCTGTGGTCGTGCACTCAGTCGAATGATAGCGAAGACCGGCTCTGGAGCGAATGCCAGCAACGGCAGTTCAACCATCCCAGAATGGTTTCCAGAGTCTTTCTTGGTTACCGAAGAGCGTTTGGAAAAGAAGAATGTTACCAAGAGACAAGTACGTCAGTGGACGCACCCACGCATGGCCAAGGTTTTGCACTGGGAGTAGAGTAGCCTTGACTTGGAATGGGGGTGCTGTGATTTATCAAACACAGTCTTGGATGTCTCTCTACACACCGAGTACTATTTTGAAGCTCAAGGATTTGTTTTATATATGTTTGGCGACGTTTGAGCGCCTCCTCAGACAGAAAGCTCTCTTCAGTTAGCTTGTTGACATAAGGTACTTGGCGGAATGTAGCACCCATCTATTGTGGGATTTTGATATTACCAAAATGTGAGTTATCCGGTACGACATCGTGAGGTGAGGACCCATTGAACAAACTCTGGCAACTCATGGATCTAACTGCATGGAATTGTCGAGCTAAATATCTCCTCGGCGTTAGAGTAAACAGAAACAACTTAATTGCGAAGCAAAGTACTCAGTTACTTAGCCTCATTCAGACCAGCTTGACATCCATTAATGAGAGAAAGAAACCATGTTATATCATCTCATTTGGCAGTCTAGCATTCATTGTAATCACCTAGGAGCTATCATTTGCATATAGACTTTGGCTCCATGTTTTCCATCGCATTAAATTTCTCGTTGCTGGCCAGGGTCTTATCACGACATCGGGTTTTCCGACAAGGGAGACATACGTTCTGCATTTTCCCCCACGATTCGCAGAACATGATACGTAATAAGGGACAGCGCTTGCTTGTCTAGGACTAATTCTCTCAAGGCCACACTCAAATTGGAAGATTCTCCGACGTGAGGTGAGGCACCTCGGCTGTTCTTCCAAACTATTACCAACATAGGTCGGAATCGTGCTGAGTCAGCCAAATTTGCTAGCACGCCATGGGTGCCAAGTTGAGATCATCGAAGCTATCTGCACAACCCTCGTCGCTTCTTATCTGCATACGTACGCTGCTACCATGTTATCTTCAGTTGACAGCGGAGGTCACCGGCAATCACCTCGGCTGCCACCCCCATCTACCAGAAGTCTGGAACCCTTTTGGTGCGACAATCGCGGAGATGAGAGCGATGCCTCCAATCAGGGTCCCAATTGCGTGCTCTGCTTGCAACGTCGCGCAGCACCCAGCCACGTGGGAGTGGTGTTTCTCATAAATTCTTCTCGGCAGTGATGTCAAGCTTCTAATTTCTTCACGACGGAGCTTCTTGTTTGGGCAAATCTTCTCTCTTGGATCATATCTCTGCCAGCGAGTCAGCATCTTAAGTTGCCATATTGAGGAGATCGTCACCGCTCGGAAAGACAGGCCTCCATCCAAGATGGCTGAAAAGGCAGACAGCGTTTCCGATACGGCGCAGCCAGTTGAGCAGTCGGAAAGGGTCGACGGTAAGACAGTTCGACACATCATCAATCTCATTCATAAACTGACGTCGTGCAGCGAAGTGGTATCGGACACCATTTTACAATGCCACGATTCTTGGCATGTGTAGTTTTGCAGCCCCCGGTCTTTGGGGTGCGATGAACTCTTTGGGTGCTGGTAAGTCTCATCTGAGGATTGAGGGTCCTTGTGCATCTATGGAAAATGAATCGTCTGACAATGTTATAGGTGGTGCTCAAGAGCCATACCTTGTCAATACCGGAAACGCACTTACCTTCTGCCTCATGATCATCTCATGCTGGCTCACAAGTTCTGTTGTCAAATATGTCGGGATCAAGGGTGCCTTAGTCATCGGCACAATCGGGTTTGCTCCATACAGCGCAGGACTGTACCTGAACAACCGTTACGGCGTCGAGTGGCTCGTTATCCTTGGCGCTGCTTTCTGCGGCGTATCAGCTGGTATTTTCTGGGGCTCGGAAGCTGCTATTGCCATTGCATATCCTGAGCCTCACAACAGAGGGCGCATGATTGCCTACTGGCTTACCTGGACTCGGGTTGGGCAAATCCTCGGCGGAGTCATCAACCTTGGCCTTAATGCGGACCGCAGTGGAGCTGGCAAGGTGTCGTACAAGGTTTACCTCATCTTCATCGCCTTACAAGCTTGCGGACCCTTCGTTGCCATGCTTTTGAACAAGCCAGAAAAGGTCCAGCGAGCCGATGGGAAGCCAGTCCAGCTGACCATTGCCGACAACCCATGGCAAGAGATCAAGGCTACGACCAAGACGTTCCTCACCCCCAAATTCCTGCTCCTCGTTTTGTGGATTGGCCAGGGCGTGTACTCTGAATCGATTTTCTTCACATATATCGCTCTGTGGTTCTCTGTCAGAGCTCGCGCCCTCGGATCACTTCTCTCCGGTATCGTTGCAGTCATCGCTGGTAACCTCCTTGGACTGTGGCTCGATCAGAACCAGATCGCTCTGAAGAAGAGAGCTCGCTGGGCTTTTGCAGTCATTATGACCCTCCAGGGTGCTTGGTGGCTATGGCTGACCATTAACGTCACCGAGTACCGTCGAACTCAGCCTACACTCGACTGGAGTGATCCAGGATTCGGCAGAGGCTTCGGTGTCTTCATCTTCTTGGTCGCTGGCTTCCAATTGAACTACAACTTTGCATTCTTCATAATTGGACAAATTTCCGAAACCCCTCAGGAGACGATCCGCCTGTCAGCACTTCTTCGGGGAACAGAGTCTGCCTGGCAAGCTGTCAGTTATGGACTCAACGCAATCCCAATTTTCGCCTTAGTCGGCGGGCCGTACATCAACTTTGGGCTATGGTTTATCTCGATTTACCCGGCTTGGCTGGTTGTCAGACATTTCGGCAATGATGGAAAGAAGACTGATGCAGAGACAGTCGCTCAGTCGGAGTCAGTCCATGAAATCAAAAGTTGAAGGGGATGCTAGGTACTGCTGATTGATGGGCAACAAGTCAGGTTGTAGCTGAACTTGAGGTGTAACTTGTCCACATCTTGATCAATACTCTGGCTTTTATCCACAAAGACGCAGTTCTGAACATAAAAATACAACATATTTTTTGAGTAAACATGCCCTCTCACTATTTGTTTTTCTTTGTTCTCTCATCGTAACCTCACATGCGTAAATGATAATGCGATGCTGTTGGAAATTTCATTGATCCGTACAACAGCAAAAGAGTTGGAGTATCACTCCACTCATAGTGACTATGCTGGATTTGATGTCTTTGTCCTTGCTTGTTTGGTGAAAGATTATGATCTTTCAAGCTAATATTCATGCTATTCTTCCACGAATTAGATTGATGTCATCATGCCCGTGGGCAGTCTTCGTGATCTCTTTTTATTCTCACATAACTTTAGATACATACAATTGAGGTCCACGTAGAAATCCTGCCTCAATCACTACTTTTCGACCTAAATCGACTATTCGACTCGTTAGTACGGAAAAGAAGGATAACAACGGCTTATTTGAACATTTTCAAAGGCCAAAGCAGGTCAGTAGTACAGCTCGAAGATCGAAAGGACCAGCAACAAAGATGGACGCATACACGCAATATACTGTGCCAAGTGCCTTTCTCCAATTGCCACGGGAGATACGCGACCATGTCTATGAGTTATCCGAGCTTGTGCCCTCGAGGTGTGAGCTAGATATTTGCGAGCCAGTTGGCAGTCTACCATGGGCTGCAGCATATCCAACATCTCCTCTCTTCGAAGTCTGTCTCCAAGTTCAAGCCGAGGTCCTCGAGTTGTTCCACAGCCAAAACCATTTCAGGTTCTGGCTTGGACGGAATAGGTGGTGTGGGAGCCAATACATGTTTGGCTCTTTCAACTCCACATTCACTGAAGCGCAATTCAAATCGTCACACCTCCCTTCTCTCAGGGGCATCAAGCAACTCTATCTGAACTTCTATAAAGGCACCGGACCAGGCCAAATAATTGCGTTGGAACTGGCTGCATCAGCCAGTCTGGTAGAGAAAATCAGAATCTGCCTCAACAGACATAGCCAGGATCCGGCTTCTGACCAGTTTCGGACTGCTCTTCTGAGATTCGTGAGAGACATCCAGGAGCAAGTCCCTTCAGTGCATACAATCAGGCTCGCTCACCCCATTGCCAAAGAACTTGCTCAGCGAATAGCTAAAGAGACTTCGTTGCAAATCGAGGCCATATGTGCGAGAGAGACTCATGACGAATGTGACCGCAAGCTTCCATTGTCACCAGAAACTTTTTGCGGCTCAACTAGGTCTCAGAAAGTCCAAGAAAGTGTTTCAGACAATACAGCATTCTAAAATATACAGGGATATATTTGGACTGTCAGGAAGTCGGTCGAGCGATGGCATCAATGGTTTATGTCAACAGGAGACTTGGTTTGAAGCTCGAAGCTTTCTTAGATTGAATAAGTGGAACTATTGTGTGCCTATATTCCCCGGGATGAATACAAGTCTACTTTGACGGTGAAGTAGGTGAGCCTGTCATTGCATGTCACAGCATTCAGTACTGTCATATATGCCACATACGCCATAATTGATGCAGAATGATTCTATTACTTTTGACCAGGCCGCGTTGATCACATATGTACCTTTGCCTGGCTCATCTGTGACCCCATCACGAACTAAACTTCCTTAATACAACCCCACGAGTAAGAGAAATGAGAAGCTGGAGACTGGTAGAGAGTCTTTTCATCGTTGCGCTCAGTCCACAAATGACACTATCACATGCCACTGGCGAAACGCAGAACACCATGATCATTGCGTGGTTGATAGGATTGGCGGGCTCTCTCCACCGGTTTTCCTTGATGAAAACCCCAAGCCGAGGGAGTAATCACTAATCAGGGGCGTTGTCTTCTGAGATAGGTCATTATATACCATGATAAGAGCGTGTTGAGACCTGGACTGTTTGCCTTGCATCCAGACAGGGGTCGCCTTCTGGCCAACGGGTTGGATGTAATAAGATTCGACCACGGATGTTCACATAGCAGTGCGCAATAATTCCAATGGCCACATCCTTTTGCAAAGTCCCATCATACGACTAGATGCATTCATACGAGCCGATGATAGCAGTGTACGCTGAGAAGCTAGAGGTCGCGACCTCAGGGTGGGTTGAGCAAACCAGGTTGAGTCAAATACCTCAATGCACATTGTCGACGGAAGACACTATTAGCATCCCTGCAGGCATTGGGAAGCCTAATTTTTGCTTTCCAGCTCGACTGTTCCTTTGAGTTTATCGACGAGGGTCCGAGACATGCGGAGGAATCCGGGGTAGATGTGGAGGTCGGAGACGGAAGCCGGAACCCGGGAGGGAAGCTTTTGCCAGAAAGGGTTACCTCTTTGTCTGGAAGGACAAGACCAGGAGGGCAAATATTACTTATTCTGGAGTCTTGCATTCAAACATCCCGTTTAGAACAGCTGGTAAACCAGGTCAAGGCAGGAAGTGACATGATCTCATGTAGAAAGTAGTCGATGTTGGTCGTTAAAGACAATGATTGTGAAGAGGGCGAGATCATGGAATGCATAGTGGTCCACCGACCAGTCTTGGTAGCCAATCTGGGCCTCTCGAAAGACCTGCGGTCACTCGATCTCTCAGACTCTTAGTCTCGGTCTTCAGTGTGACCTCCGCAAAAAGCGCTCCAGTCTCCAGCGCTACCCCGGAAATGCAGTCCCACCCCCGGTCACAAAAGTCTTCCGAGTCATGCCCTCCACGCCTCGGTCTTGCCAAAGGAGGCAGTCTTTAGCATCTTAAGGCTACCAAAAGATGTTGCATCCACGTGGAAAGTGCGGAGAACTGGGGAGGTCTCAAGCTCCCTCGACGAGTGTCCATGGGGAAGCTTGCATTGCATCCTTTATGTGCTTTTTCAATCCAGCATGCTTGGAGTATAAGATGCGTGAAGGTCCCACCCTCCGAGATGAGAACAATTCAAAGCAACCTCAACTCGCAGGGGGACATCATCACGCGTTCCGGAATCAACCCAGTCCTGTGCAACCTCGGACTGCCAACCACAATGGACGCCAAGAACGAGCCGACGGTTCAATGTGATGACAAGCAGAGAGCCGACCAGTTTGAAGATGCGAAGGTGGCCGCAACAACTGCGCTGCCAACATCGCAAGCCAACGAGAAGCTTACTTTCAGCGATCTGTGGGAGAACAAGCGCGTTCTGGGCTTCTGTCAGTTCATCTATCCCTATTGATCCCTGCAAAGAATGTTTCGCTAATACGATGTGTGCCGGTGACAGGCTTGATGATCTACCTTTTGCCCATTAACTTTGGTTACGAAGTCTCGACCATCGGAAAGCTCCTCGCTGTAACTCCTTTTGCTCAACGTTTCGGCCACGAAATCAACGGAAAATGGCAAGTTGCCGCTCGGGACCAGCAGATCCTCAATGCCGCGGGCACGATCGGAATCTTCGTCTCGGCATTCGCAACAGGCTTCATTAGCGATATCTTTGGCCGGAAGAAGACCATTGGCCTCGCTTGCTTGATTTGCTGCGGTGGCACGATTCTTCAATACTTTGCTTCAACTATCATGACGCTTTTCGGCGGCAAGGTCGTTGCAACTTTTGGATTCGGTCTAGGTCACTCCTTGGGGCCTGTCTTTGTTGCCGAGCTCGCACCCGTCAAGATGCGTGGTGTTTGCCTGGTTCTTGTCAACACAATGATCACTGTTGGCCAATGGCTCAACTCGGCGACAGTACTGGCAAGCGATCACTATCACAATGACCTTTCTTGGCGAATCCCTTTAATTACGCAACTCATTCCTCCCGGACTGCTCCTTTGCGGTTTGGTATTCTTGCCCGAGTCCCCCAGCTGGCTTCTCATCAAGGGTCGTCGTGAAGAAGCCGCCAAATCATACAAAAGATTCAACGGGCCCAGCTTCGACGTGGATGCCGCGTTGGCGATCGCCACTGTTGCCATTGCCAAAGAGCAAGAGGCCAAAAAGGAACAGGAGTCAGCTCGCTGGATTGACTGTTTGAAGGGAGTCAACGGCAGGCGCACAGCAATTATTGTGATGGTCTATCTCTCTCAGCAAGCCATTGGTGTGAACTTTGTTTCGGGCTACCTCACGTAAGGCAGCCACTTTTCTCTACAATTCCATGTCGAAGGTCACTAAACAGCTCGCAGATACTACTTTCGCTTGGCTGGAATTAACAATCCGCTTGCAATCGGCCAGGCAGCCTACGCAATTCAGTTCGTCGGCAACATGACTTCCTGGCCACTTGTGGATCGATATGGAAGACGTCCGTTGATCGTGGGCGGCGTATTCACCATGACAGCCCTTTTGCTTCTCATTGGCGGTATCAGCACCATCGGCAACCAAGCCTCACTCACCGCAACGGTCGCTTTCATGGTCATTTGGGGATACTTATATCAGGCAACTTTGGGTGCGGTTGCGTACTCTGTCGGAGGAGAAACTGCCAGGTATGTTTACGATAAACTCTCAGCTTAAGTTCTTAGACTTTGGATTGGATTCTGCATCGCTGCAAGCCATCAGTCCAGACTTCAGTTCAAGTGGTCTTGGTAGTATTAGCACGTGGTGTTGCTCAGGAACATAGGCCTGTGGGCCTTCAACCCTGACTCGTGGATAAGAAGAACAGGGGCATGCCTTGCTGACGAAATGACAAACAGTGTGCAATTGCGACAAAAAACTTACAGCATCAATATCATGTGCTCGACCGCGGCGTCCTGCTTAGTATTGCAGGTGATGCCCTACCTGCTAAATACAGACCAGGCCAACCTGGGCGGTAAGATTTGCTTCATCTTCTTCGGCCTATCGTTGCCCATGTGCGCATGGCTTTACCTGTACTTCCCCGAGATGAAGGGTCGCAACTACGCCGAGATTCAAGAAATGTTTAGCAATCGCGTGCCGGCCCGCAAGTTCAAGTCTTATGTTTGTGAGGTCAGCGCTGGGGGCCAAGAGGAGAAGAAGCTT